TCTGCACGCATCATCAATTTCTGAGAGCCATGTCTCAGTTACTGCGAAAATATCAGCTCCAGATGATTCAACATAGGAAACCAAGTCCGCCGATTTGTTTCTCACAGACCTGGCATTCAAACTACAGAATTTTAAATAGCTTCCACTACGAAAACGTTGTTCAGGAACTATAGGAACCAAAACAGAAGTGCGAGAAGTGGTTCTATCACGGCAAGTAGTATGACTTATTCGATCAGAAATACGTACAGATATCTTCCGTCGGCCAGCTCGACATCCTCTAAACCTCAGGAGTCCATTTAGCTTTAAAACATGGAGAACTGAACCACAAACAAAACTGCGAGACGCGCGACGAATGCCAAGTAGTTCAGCACGGGTGTATGCTAACATCACGAGGGACGGAAATATCCATTACAATTCCTTAGCCACGCCTTCTCATCAGCTTAATCTGGATGCCAGGGAGGCCCTGCAGACAAGACAATATAACTTTGGACTGACAAGTTCACGGGACATTGGGATTGTTTCTCCAGCCTCTCTCACAAATGAGCTCAATCACATATGCAGAAGTGAAGAAAATCTATGTGCAATACTAATAACTTCTCCCGACAAGTCCATGTTGCTTTGCTTTAGAAATGAACAAAACAAAATAGCACTTTTAGACAGCCATCAACACGGTAGTTATGGTGGACTTATTGCAGTGGCAACTTAAGCACAAGTTGATAATTTTGTTTCGTTTCTGAGCTATATGTGTGCCCGTGATTGGGGCAGTGGTATTCCTGGGGCAAATTTAGCAGTGCTGACAAAAGGCTGATAAATTGCTTTGCAGGTATCTTGCCGTGTTTGAGGGTAATGCACTGAAAGTCTAGAAAGAGTCATAACAAGGACATGATAGGATTGCTTTAGCATCGCTGGTGAACAGTTAGATAACTATTAAGTAAAGCAATTCTAGACAGTAGGACTATACCTATTAATAAAATTAAGAAATGTTCCAGTTCACTTCAAGAGTAGAGATTGAAAAGATACTCTATAAAATACATATGCTTGTCAAACCCATGTCAAGCCTGACTGGACATGTCAGCATGTGCTCAGTTCAGCAATGAATTAATATATGTTCTACTATTTTCCCAGCACTTTAAAGCTACAAAATTAAGAGCACACGAGACGTAGATTAGTCACCTGGTGAGATGTTGGTGTTAGTCACTCCGTATGTCCAGAAAAATAAAAAAAATGAATATCAATAAGTCACAGTCAAACCTGCATTCAATAGGACCGAAATTGCTGTGAGGATTGAGAACATTATATCTGAGTGGAAAACTCCCAAGGACGGTATACCACAAGGCACCAAGTTAGGAGTCATTTTGTTCACAATCATGACAAATAATTTATTGCGCTCATGAAACCTTAGAATAAACTTTGTTGATGATACCACAGCCCTTGAAATAATCCCTAGGAACAGTGCCAGTGTACTCAATTTTGTTACTTTGCAATTGTGATGGCTTGTTATTATTGTCTAAAGACGTGACAAATTTTCTGGGAGCCAACCTTTCGTTTACTTTGGATAATACCTGTAGCAGTGATATGGGCCAATTGTTTGATTGGTTTCCAGCATCACCAGCATTAGGAACACAAGTTACTTCTGCGATTTTCCACACACGCGCGAACGCATTAGATTTAAAGAAATAGTTCATCAGGGACGTGATTATTTGCAAGGTAGCTGGTAAACAATCCTTAAGTATTCTTGCTGGAATTTGTCAAAGCCGGGTGCTTTATTGGAAGGTAAATTTAGGATAACATTCGCCACATCGTTCTCTACTACAGTCTGGAATTCAAACTGCTCAGTTAGCGCAGGAACGTTAGGGGTTGCACAGACGTTTGAATCCAAAGTCGAATTTTGGTCCTTGGCTTACCGATTTACTTTAAGAGCTGTTAAATATCCAACTTATTAAAACTGTTGGCCACGTTCTCATTACTATCATTTAACTGTGGTAAAGGTGGACGTGTCCAAAATATTAAAAATAATACAATGATGATTTAAACCAGGAGCATTTAAACATAGTAGCTTAACAAGCAAAAATATAAATACGTTTAAATCCATTTAGAGTGTACATGTCCGGTCAAAATGACTGGCGAACCAAAAGTTAGTCCACACAAAATAGTCACCTTGGCCGGACATTGTTTATTGACCAGCAGTTATTTTGAGCCCTGGTTGTAGCCAAGCGAGTGGCTCACCAACTACATATTATTGTTATTATATTATTACTATTGTAACAGTGAAGAACATCATTTTATTCAGAAGTGGCACGTGAATAATTAAAATCTATTCAAAAGCTGTATTCAAACCTTAGGGGCCACCAACACTACATGTTTTGGTGTATGATTTGGACTACCATGTGGCACATTTTTTTGCGGGTTCCAATTTTTTCAGTGTCTTCAGTAATCCGCAAATATAAGTTCCCGCAAAAAATAAATTACCGGAAACATTCTTTCTGCGAAAATTTACCCCACAATAAATTTCACGGAATTTAGCACAAGTATATTGTTTCGGCAAACAAATAGACAATGCACCAATTATATCTAAAATGGACCATTAGTTTAGGGTTTCCTAGTGTTAAACAAAACATATTTTCATTGTGTAGAGATCCATGATCTACCTCTTAGTAAGCTTTCAAAATAAAATTACACACAAAATAATTTACTTTTAACTTGCATTACTATATTTAGATTTCTTCAAGTTGTGCAAAATAAAAAAGGATTTGTGATTCTCGTTGGCATTTCTTGTGGAGTGGTAAAATAGATAGATGTGAGGATGATGTATTGCGAATTCTAAGAAAAAATGCAAACTGGGTAAGAAATGATCCAGATCATATAATTACCTTGCCTCAAATGTACTTCCTGCAAGAACTCTTAAACTACATTCTTCAGCTTGATAATTGAAAGGAATTAAAAATAGAATGTCCAAGTGAAGTAAAAACTTTAAATCTTACTTTGGTTGCAAATATTAATACATGTTTTACAATAATTTTTCCACAAATAGACTTTGTAATGCACCAAAAGAAAGTTTACGTTAAAATAATTTCACGTTATAATAATAAAATTTTAAAATTATAATATTTTCAATTTTATTGGATTACAGGGGGGCCCACACCCAAAAAGGGATACAGTGGGTCGAATCTGTTAAAAATTGGCTGAAAGTAAGGAAAGATTGTGCAGATAGGAAGGTCAGTCTTATTGGACACTCAACAGATTCTGCTAGTTTTTCTCTTTTTGCTTCTATCCAGCTGATAACACCAACTGAAACAACAGTAGAAAAAGGAATTTACTATTTAGGATTAGGAATTCCTGATGAGAGATTTGTTACACCATATTTTTGGCGGCTACCCAGTATTGCATATGGTGCTTATGACCACTTAAGAAAAACATTTATCCGTGAGGTGAAATACGACACTAGAGATCTGACCTTCCTCACAGACACTGGGACCATTGTGGCAACTGTTAATCACTTACATGAGCTTATGTCCAAATGTCAGAAAAATGGACAGAGTGGTCCATTCTCTACAAATGACCTCCTCTTGATAAGCTTCTTTGACCAGCGGCCTGACACCACAAACAGGATTTATACGCTAAAAGTTGCAGAAATGCTGCATGAACATGCCCAGGGGTCACAGGGAACAAGCCTTTATTTCACTGCTGTTCACAATCTAACTGAACCATTTTTTTAATCCTAATTTTGGAAAACCAGAAGAAATCCAGAGAGCATTGTTAACTGGAATAAGGATCTTTATACTCTAGAAAAGATACATCGAAATAAAAAAAATTAAACTGCACTCGCAAACTAATGCAGCAAAACTAAAGGAAAAACGTGGTCATTTTGATACATATGGGGCTTACACTACAGCAAAGTTGCTATTCTCAGCTGGTTCACAACACTGCCTTGCAATGTTCTTGCATTCCAAAGATCTCGGACCAACCGCCTGCTCCCCACATCGCTCTCGAACGATCTCTAGTGAAAGAATTATTGGACAGTTGCAGGGTAAGACCAACCACCTCAATCTTTAGCCACTGCTCCTACATTTGCAGCAATGATTAATAAAACTAAAGACCTGACACTTATCACTGAAGCTCTATCAGAGTTGCCCTCTTACGAGAACATCAAGATCCCAGCAACAAGCAACAGAAAAGTTTCTCACTTCCGTGCCTCAAAAACACAACCCTCAACTGCGTACCAATACCCTGAAACCTACAAAGAGTTCCACAAAAGACAACAAAACATGCATAAAGAGGGTGTTAAAGCTGCTCAACTCCTTGTAAAAGAATACTTGCCACCGGAATTTAAAAAATGTTTGATGGAAAACAACTCGTGGGACTTGCCATACACATTTCCCAAGCCAAAAGGCACAGTTATAGTTTCAAACAAGCCCCCTTCATATAACAAACTTCATGTTTCTGTCGATGCCAACTTGGTAAAGGACGTACAAGCAGAAGTTGACTTAAAGACTTGCTTGAATATAACTCCTACTGCTGACTGTGAGAAAATGGGTAGGGAAGACAATCGTAAGGAAAAAATATTGACGTTGAAGCAAATGTTGATGAAGACAGTAACATAGGAGAGAATTTAGAAGAAAAAGGAAGCAAAACCCTCAGTCAAGGAAAGCAAAAGTGGTACATAGCAAGAAATGGACAAAAGGTACACATCGACTAAGCTCTCAAACTTCTTATCCCAAGAGAATCCATATCCAAGGAAAGGAGCCAACGTCACTGGGTAGCACAGACCCAGCCCATGATATCATACAGTTCACAGATGTGGAATTTGCGAACGGAGAGACTTTCTTCACTCTTCACATGCTTTCGATTTTATCAGAAGAGGGCAAAGAACTGGTCAGTACAAGTTCAATATCAAAGTGCTTTTTAAGACGTCAAGTTTACAGGAACAGTGACTGTGCATGTAATGAATATGGTTTCATGACCAGTATCTTTGTGTCGAAATGGTTACCTGTGAGAAGGATTATTTGTGAAGTAACACTTGAGAAAACAGAAGTTGGTCTTATTGTCATATCTGAGGACAGCCAAATGGATATAGAAAATTGTTTACAAAAAAATTGTTCCATATCAAGATGACGGGCAATCCAATGAGAAAGAAAAGAGAATGAGCTTTGAGGTGGAAAAATTCTTGACGTTCGCTTGAACCGAAATACCACTCAGAAGAGTACAAGGTCCGATTTAAAGGGTATGGTGCTGAGGATGACATGTGGCTTCCAAGTTCCTCATTTCGGGAGCCTGTGCAATTTCAAACTATCCAAGAGAGGGAGAATTTGGAAGCATACAACTAAAGATGAAACTGATGATGGCCCACCATAAAAGGTCAAACCTCCTGATGTTAAGAAGCAGAATATAAACACAAACAAAAAAAAGTTATCGAATAACAACCAAAAAAAAGAAATCGAGTCCTCGGACAATTCAAGAAAGAGAGCCCAAACCAAGAGGTAGCCATTGTAGTTTTTGTACACAATTGCAAACAAAACATATGGACACTTTGTATCTAGAACGATCATAAATAAATGTAAAATTTACACCACTACTGATTTACACGAAAAGGCATCCAATCACTGTATTGAGACTCTGTTACGTATAATTTCACGTCTGACAGACATTTCTTAGCAAAATTGCTCACCTCCAAAAGAAACATGAGGACCTTCTGGACGAAAACTATAATTCTAAAAGAGAAAATAGAAAGGTAAACACTGTAAGAAACCGAGTACATTAAAGTTTCATCGTACATAGCGAATGATCACAAGTAACATGAAAACATGGCAACAGTTAAATTATTTCTTCTGCCTTATAGCAAAATTCTTTGCCACAATAGGACACATTACCTACAATTCCACAAGGCTCTCACCAGACAGTATAACAATGGAGAAGAAACTCTATGACCCATCTATGACAAGCATGCACCTGGTGCTTAACGACATTTTTGATGTGATATTCATTGATGAAGAGCACACCTTTTTAGAGAAAACAAGAAAGCCCATACAACCAAGAGTTGCAGCGGTCTTGCATACCTTGAGTTTCTTCCGAAACCAGGTAGTTTTGCTACCAGTAATGGCCAAATATTTCCACAGAGTCAAGGGAGGTTTCTAATAGGGCTATACATGTAAAACTAAACTGTAAAAAATGGGAAATACTCATGAACGCCCCCACACGCATCCATAAATGAAGGCTCGACAGCCTTAGAAACAAACTTGAGTCTAGGCCTACACTTTCATCTCAAAGACTTACTCATGTAAATAGGCAGACTCGTTCTGAGTCACAATCGGCTGCAAACATTGTAAACAACGACAATGTAAAACTAGCCAAATTGGAGAAAAGGATCATTGACCTCACGAATATTGTGTCAGCACATGTAAATTAGCACAAATAAACGTGTGGAAAGTTACATTGTATTCTCTGCACTATCAGCAACCACCACAAACCATTTTAAGAGCAATTGCCTATCGAGAAACCAAAGGCGTAGAATGCGCCAGAAAAACGCCACACACAGGCACCAAACCACACATAGGGAGACTAATGAAAAATTTCTAAAAAATTTTTCAAGCCACCAACTTACTGACAACCAAGTCAGCGTGATATCAAAGGGTCTCAAGTTTATCCCAACACCCGTGGCAGACGAGACAAAAATCAGGCATCAACTCTTGCAAGATTTTGAACAGTTTGCGAGACGAATGCGCCTTCAATACATATTTCACGGTCAAAACAAAGAACCGCATCCGTTTCACGTTAAATCAAACTGGATACCACCAGTTCAACCAGCAGTTGCCCTTGCAAGCTACTTGGAAAGTGTCAAGGTACAATTAGCCAAAATTAAAACAATTAAGCCTGAATACAATCTATCACGAAATGAATTTAAAGCTATTGCAGAACTGAAACACAACTGTGCATTGAACCTAAAAAAGTGAGATAAAGGCACTACAACAGTCATCATGAATAAAACTGACAAAATAAAGGAAGCCCAAGTGCTACTCGACAACATAGAGCACTATAATCCCGTAAGACAACCTATGGTGAAAGACACGCAACAAAGAGTGAATCAAATTATCACTCAACTTCACAAAGGAAACCACATCGATGACATGACGGCTAAATGGCTTTCACAAACTCCCAGTCCGCCTAGAGTACCTATGTTTTATACCTTGTATTTTCTATGT